CTAAACAGTCGCATGAGCAAGCAACCAACCAGCTCAGAAGAACATACATACATACATTACCACCACCACCACCAATCGACACAAACAACCACAAGACAAACACGGAGCAACGTACCGTACATGAACAAGGAATGAACATGGATACCAACAACGATAGCGGCAACCTAGTCGGGTCAATCAATCAATCAATCAATCAACCAACCAACCAAACAAACAATTCAACCCTTCACAAAAAGACAAAAGATAAATCATCATTCGCTCCTCATACCTACCTATCAAAGCCGATACCCTAACCTTCCTCCCATGTTTTGTTTATGGCGTACTCGTCCGCTGATGGATTAACATCTCAAGTCTTCCCAGCGTTATGCAACAATAACAACAAATTCTAGTCACTGCCCGCTTTCGTTACCTGCGTGTCACGATCGGCAGCAAAATTTGCAACAAATGGAGAATATCTGTTTTTGGGTAGCAGGGCACCAATGACTTTTACCAGCTGTAATGTCGCTCTATCTATCCTGTGATACGCTTGCATCTGCCCCAAATTACAAGACCCTCTCCCATTCACAGGAATTTCCTCTCCTCTTGAATATCTGCTTTTTCTCGCTCCTGCCATCCAGGCCCACGGCACTGCTCTAGAGGCAAGCAAAGTACCGCAAACCAGCAAGCACATGCTGACGCAAAAAGGAAACGTCTGCTCCATCGCCACCACAAGAAAACGACGAACCTTCCCAGGGAGTGAAAAGTACAGCAAAGGGACGCGAAGCAAGAAGAGCCAAGGCAAATGATCAAAAGGTCAAGATGAAAGGAAATAAGCAAACACAGTGAAGGAGGAAAAGAAGTATTACAACGTCGTATGCATGCAGGTGTTAAAGCTCCCCAACGTCTCGTCCCGAGGTCGCAAACGCAACTTAGTTGCCGACAATCTCCTCTTCAACCCAACCATTAAGTCCGTTCATGCCCGAGTTTTCCTGGATCGCAAGTCCGTAGGCATTAGTGAAATTACCGTTACCGAGGCCCGAGAAGGAACTCTGGTACTGGTGACCACCACGTCTCTGCTGCTCACTGGCGTTTGGCTGACCGTTCTCTTGGAACTGCTGAGCAAAGGCGGGCAGACTAGCGGCACGGTTGTGCTGGCTGCGGGCCGGAGCCAATAGGGCGTTGGTGATGGGAGCGTTGGAAGTCCCGTTCTGGAATCCGTTGATGCTGGCAGATTGTGGTTGGTTCATGTTCTGCTGGATGTCAAGTGCATCGAGATTCTGGGAGCCGTTGCCGTACAGAGCTGCTTGTTGGGCCTGGAGGACTTGTTGTTGCTGCTGTTGGAGTTGAGCTACGGAATAAGGATCAAGTTGCTGATTCTGGGCTTGCTGCTGCACTTGCTGGGACACTTGGTTCAGATACATGGTAAGGGGGTTGTTACTACCAGCATTGAGGATGGCAGATGGTGTAGGGGCCGACTGTTGGAACCCCTGGCCGCTGGTGGCCGAGCCAGGAGCTTGAGAGGTCGTTGGCGAGCTACCGTTGTGGCTGGGTTGAAGACCGCCGCTGTTGGGCGGAGGTGGGGAGCTCACACCATCGTTGCGGGGTGACTGGGCAGATGATTGCGCTTGACGTGGAGGGTTTCCACAGCGATCCTTGCCAAAGTTGACCTTGAAGCGGCGGTAATCGTCCTTGCCTCGAATAGCCTCGATGGCTTTGATGGCGTTCGCAATGTTGGTGAAGTTGACGAATGCACAGCTCTTCTCCCGAAGAGTGTTGACCAGCTCAATCTCCCCGTACTCGGAGAAGTCCTGTCTCAGCCTCTCCTCGGTCCAGGACTCATCCAGGTTTCCGACGTAGACGTTTCGGGAAGCCCCACCGCTAACGGCAAGAGCAATCGCGGCTGGGAGAGCGCCCGAGTGTTTTCCCCATCCAATCTTCAACCTCCGGTTGTGGATCATCAAGCCCTGCAAGTTACTCAGAGCGTAGAAAGAAGCAGCAGAAGTCGGGTCAATAAAGGTGACGAAGCAGATGTGCTTGTCGGGTATATATCGAATGTGGTGCAGAAGTCCACCTCTGACAACATTACAGATCTCTTCAATGGTCGTCTCGGGGTGAATATTTCCGAGATAGACGGTTCGGTTGCCAAGGTTGTTGATGCCTCCGGCAGTAGTAGCAACGGCGGCCGCTGCGACGGATTGTTGAGCCAAAGCATTGGAGATGAGGTCACGGTCGGCACCGTTGAGCACATGAGCGTACCCAGGGGCAATGCCGAGGTATTGCGCAGCGTTTTGCTGCTGAGTTTTGGACACGTAGGCGCATCTATCCTTTCCGTAGTACACACGTCGGGGGGACTGCCATTTGGACTCCTGTGGGAGCTGGGCGACCGCCTTGATCGCGTTTCCAATGGATAGGAAGTGAACGAAGCCAATCGCCTTTTCCCGCACAATCTTGACGGTGTCAATTGGGCCAAACTTGCTCAAGTCCTCACGCAGCTCATCCTCCGTAACGCTCTCCTCAAGATTCCCCAAGTATACGTTTCTAGAAGCCCCAGACTGTTGAACCGCAAGGGCGACGGAAGTAGGCACCTGCGATGGTTTGCCCCATCCAACCTTGATATCCTGACCGCGAATAGAAAGCTTCTTCAAGATAGCATCGGAGTGAAAATGCGTGGCGGAGCTTCCGTCCAAGAAAGAAATAAAAGCACAGTTCTTGTCTGGCAGAAGTCTGACCGATTCTATTTGTCCGCTTCGCACATGACCCAAGATCTCCTCTGCCGATGTCTCCGGGGGAATGTTGCCCAAGTAAACCGTTCTGCTCGTGCCCGAAGCCAGCCCAGGTGACAATTGGACGGGAGAAGCGGGCTGGATCTGCATCTGGCCCATCTGACTATTCAAGTTCGTGAATCCATTGGCAGTTGGAGATTGCGGGACGTAGAACTGGGGCGCGCCATAGGTAGAGGGAGATACGAGCGTCTGGTAGAGTTGAGGAGAGAGGGGACCCATGTTCTGCTGCTGTTGCTGTTGGCTTGGTTGCTGGTACGTGGTGTACTGCTGGAATTGAGGGCTCTGGAATGGAGCTGGTGAGCCTTGCTGGAAGGGCGAGCCGAGCAGAAGCTGGGATGGGAGCAAAGGAGTGAACTGCATGTCGAAGGCCGTACCGGGAGTTACCATGTCGTTCTGACCTTGTTGGGTCATAGTTTGTGTGTTGATCGAAGGAATGTTCGCTCGGCGCGGGTGCCTGTCTCCGTACCCACCCATTGAGAACTGGTTCGAGCTGTAGGCCCCGTGGGAGAAGCCCGTATCGCTGGTGGAAGGCTTCGAGGCATGACCTGGAAACCTGGCCGCAGTGGCAGCTCCTGGCCCGCTTGGGGAGCTTGCTTTCTTGGTTTCCTGCATCCCGGAAGAATGAGGAGGCAGGACAACGCTGTCCCGCACGAGAGATGATAGAACAGCCGTTTTGAAGGATTACTAGTGCCAGAGGTGGCACTGTTGTCAGACTGGAAAGCAGCGAGCAATCTTCGAGGGCCGAAGGTCTACAGGGCGAGCGAAGAGGTTGCGCAAGGGCGAACAAAGGATCGAAACAAACACTTTCCGTCTCTTCCGGAAATCTTCGGGCAGAGATGAACGTTGAATATACAAAAGGACTTGTATAATTAGATATCCGTGGTATTATAGAAGTATTCCAAGCCAAAACGATATCCAAAGAGAATATGCGACGGTACTAGGACTCGGGAATCGAGGTAGGGACTTTGCAGTTGTCGCAGATGTCGATTGACGCGAGGAAAGCCGGATCGATGCTTGCAATTGTTTTTTGTTTCGAGGATTGTCGGATGATAGGCAATTGCGGTTGACTGAACAAAGAATAGAGGGTGGGGTGCGAGCGTCGGGATCGAGCCACAGTCGACGGGCAGATGGTGATCCTGACTGAGTAAAGAGTATAGCTGCTAAGATATGCAAAGAAGAGCAAGAAGTTCGGCGGCGAGGGGGTAATGGGGGTAATGGGGAGGTGGGTAACGAGAGTAAATTGACTGAGGAGCAGCCAACAAACAATATATGTTGGTGAAGTAGAAAAGGGGGTAGGAGGAAGGAGATGCAGAGAGCAGAGGAACCGAAGTAGGAACGAAGAGGACAACGATCTGAGGGAGGAAATGAAGATGGAAAGAAGATGCGATCCGAGGGGAGGGAGGTGGGGGGAGGGGAAGAAGGAGAAGAAGGAGAAGAAGGAGGAGAAGAAGAAGTAGAAGGGGAATGAGAATGGAAATAGGGAAGGGAAAGGTAAAAGAGTAGCTACCTAGCTGTTCTACTTAATGTGGTTTGGCGGCTGCCCAAAAGAGTTGCCTTCATTTCATTTCAGCAATGTCCGAGCCCTGGCGTAGAAGGGAAAGTATCTGGCGGGCGAATCACGGCACCGGCAACTTTTCCCGACTCTTCTTGGAGGAGGTATTCCCTGGTAAAGATGCCGATTAATAGTACTCTAAGTATATATATAGTGGTATATGGAGTACGGGCATTAAATACATTTACATAAACGACTACTAAGGTACAAGGTACGGGAGGTACGTAAGGGGGTAACCGGTACTTTTGCTTGTCGTAGTACATATCACGTGAAGAGATCTCCTTACGACTCTCAAGCCTCTTCTTCTCTTCCCTTCTGCCTCCCCCCTCATATCATCATCATCATCATCATCATCATCATCATCATCGATCATCATCATCGATCATCCCATGTTCCCGAGACCACGTCAAGCCAGAGATGGATACTTATTGTTATTATATACAATACGTACTGCTGCTTGTACGTAGTACTTACTGGTAGGTTTGTTTCTCGTCAGCGCCCAAGCAATCATTCATTCCTCAACCCAAACGTAGAGACAAATAAAGCATAGTTCATTGCACTCATACATTTGACACTTCACTTCACATACAGTACTACTACGTACGTACTACTACTTGATACTACTGTACGTAGTAGGTATATACTTCTACGGTACTACTACTAGTACCAAGGACAGGACAACTAGGCCCTCCGTTCCCCCAAACCCCACCTCTTCCAAACAGACCAAACTCCTCTCGAATCCCCGACCTGTCAAACCCCGCTCTCACCTTCATCCCCATGTCAAGGTTTCAATTCCAAAGAAAGCCCCCCCCTGTCAGCGGACCCTCCCCAGTCGCAACGAGAATATTGCATTCCTTCTCTAAGTATCTCTCTCTCCTTCTATTTTCTCCTGTACAATCATCAGTACACATATCATATATACATATAAACACACACATATATATGGATATATATATATATATATATATATATATATATATATATATA